AATCAGAAATTGGTGCAACTCTGAGGAATATTCAGGACTTGATAGACTAGAGTTCTGACTCTTTTTTCATTTTCCTTTAGAGGACACTTATACTTTTAATTTGTCCTGTTCCCTCTTGGTTTAATTTTTACTTTGGATCCATGGCACTTCCAGCCAGATTAACTGAGCCTGGAAGATCATTTTGATGCATCTGAGCTGTCCAGTGCTGATCATTTAAAGATGGAGAGTGAAACACAACATTTTATAACCACTCAGAGAAGGAGAGAAAGATCAGGTAGTTCTGAGTATGCTAAGTCTCCCGTCTCATCCCTTGTGTCAGAGGCTCAGCCCTTAGACATATAGGGACAGATTCTACAATGGCCAGATACAGGTAACTCCCATGAAAGTCAATGGGCCTGATTCTGATCTCAGTTACACTCAGTTATATTCCGCTAGAAAGATTCATAGATTCCAAGGCCAGAAGGGACCATTGTGATCATCCAGTCTGACCTGTATAACAAAGCCCTTAGAACTGCCTCAAAATAATTCCTAGAGCAGAACTTTTAGAAAAACATCCAATCTTGATTTGCAAATCATCAGTGATGGAGAATCGATCATGACCCTTGGTAAATTGTTCCAAAGGTTAGTTACATTCAGTGTTAAAAATGTATGTCTTATTTCCCATCTGAATTTGTTTAGCATAAACTTCCAGCCATTGGATCATGTTCTAACTTTCTCTGCTAGATTGAAGAGCCCATTATCAAATATTTTTTCTCCATGTACGTACTTACAGACTGGACTCAAGGAACCCTTTAACCATCTCTTATTTAAGCTAAATAGGGAGACTCAAGAAGCTCAATTGAAGAAAGCAGGTTGGAATTACGCAAGATGATTTAAGATTTTTGTTGTAGATCCTATGGCACCAATCCTGCTCTCATCGATTACATTGGGGCTTGGTCTACACTTACCCCCCAATTCGAACTAAGGTATGCAACTTCAGCTACGTGAATAATGTAGTTGAAGTTCGAAGTACCTTAGTTCGAACTTACCTCGGTCCACACGCGGCAGGCAGGCTCCCCCGTCGACGCCGCGGTACTCCTCTCGTCTAGCTGGAATGCCGCAGTCGACGGCGATCACTTCCTGGTTCGACTTATCGCGTGCAGACAAGACGCGATAAGTCGAACCCAGAACTTCGATTCCCAGCCGCCGAACTAGCGGCTGGGTGTAGACATACCCTGGGAGAACTAAACCTGTTCCCACTGATCTCAGTGGGAAGTAGTAGGAACTGATACACTGAACAAAACAGCTGAGGGGGGGTTACGTATTGGTTGCATCATTTTGCAAGGGGTGTCATAGCCTTGTGGACAATAATAATCTCCAGCTGGTTGTGAAGGTGAAATCATACTCCTGGTTACTGCCATTGAAAGGGGTGGGAATCCCAGTGGCAAGACAAGCAAGATAAATAAGAATATTAGGATTTTGTGTGGACTTCTGCTGGTGCCCATCTAAAGCATTGCTAATGCCTGTACCGGCCTTGCAGTCAATGGTGCCTCTGTTTCCTGGAAATATTGACAGGGATTCTGGTGGCTGAAATGATTACATGAGCATTATCCTATGTGACCAGGCACTGAAGCTAATGTTATACTTAAGAAAGCTCTTTCAGTCTGAATCCTTGTGCCTAGTTGCTAATAACATTATTTCCTACTATTTCTCTGCGCCTTTCAGCTGGAAACATTTGTGCTTAGCTACTGTGTGAAGGATTTAGGAGGTTCCCACTGGAGTTCACTGGCAGACCCAATAGAAAGGGGACTGGCTCCATTCTCCACATCTCTGAGCTGCCCCTGTGTCTCCCTTCTCAGTGATCCACTTATAATGTTAGTTATGGTGTTTCCCCAGGAACTGCCCATTGCCCTTCTCAGGTACAACTGTCCTTCCTCTCTCCAAGGCCCTGCATTTCTGCTATGTTTCCTCTTACAGGGAAGCTTCTTGGGTTCCATCTCCTGTCATAGCAGGCATCTACCAGAGTGGGTCACTAGATGATGAGGTGAGTTGTTCCCGTCCAACATCTGGAAGCCGTAGACCTCAGGGCATCACTTTTGCTCCCTACCCCGGCAGAAGTATCTGTAAAGCACTGGGCTGACCTGAAATGCTCGCAGTCTTTTTAGGGCAGTAATTCATCATCATCGTGTTCCAATTACACCTCTGGCGTTTAGGGCAGCGATGAAGCTCCTCCACTCCTGTCTGTTTCTGGCAAGTCTTTCAATGGTTCCCCAGCTGTGCCCCAGGTTTTTCAGCTTGGTCTCCTCAGCTCTTTGCCATGTTTTTTTTCCCGGGTGCCCTCGTTTTCACTTGTCCATCTTATTGCCACTCTGGTGATGGAATCAGTTTCCATCCGAAGCACATGGCCAATCCATCTCCAACGCCTCCTGGCAATGATGGTGCTCAGATCCTCTTGGCTGCACTGTGTCAATAGATCTTGGTTTGAGATTGTTCTGTTTCTGAGGCAGGTTGTGTGGAATGAAGATAGTTTGGACATATCCTACTTTCTCATTCCCCAGCATTCTGCACTAGAAAGTAATGTTGAAAGTACGCAGCTCTGATAAATCTTGAGTTTGGTTTTAGTGTTGTATGTTGATGATTTCCAGACTGTATTTAAGCTCTTGAAGGTGTTCCTGGCTTTATTGATTTTGTTCCGGATGTCCTGGCTTGTTCCACCGTCCTGGCTGGTGATGCTGTCCAAGTATGTGACTGTTTCTACATTGGTGAGAACATAATCCTCTATCCATACTGGTGATGGTGAGGCAACATTAAAGGTCATGATATCGTTCTTATTGCGGTTGATTTGCAGACAATTTGCTGGCTGAATGTCTTGTGTCGAGTTGTTTTCTCTTGTATATGGTGTTGGGTATGTGATAGGAGAGCGAGATCATCTGCGAAGTCCAGTTCTTCAAGGGATGAGAAGGGTGTCCATTTAATGCCTCTTGGCATGTCTTCTGTTGTACACTGCATTACTCAGTCGATGGCAACGTTGAAGAGGATTGCAGACATGACACACCCCTGACGTACTACTGTTTTCACTTCAAAACTGAGCTCACTGTGATCAACACTGCATGTGAAGTTGAAATAAGAGCATTTGATGATGTTGATTATACAGAAAGGGATTCCATATACCCGCAGAATTCACCATAGCCTGGTCCTGTGAATGCTATCAAAAGCCTTCTCAAGTCTATGAAATGTATACAGAGTTGCCATTGCCATTCTAAGCATTGTTCTATTATGTTTCAAAAAGTGAAGATCTGGTCTGTGCATCCACGCCCTTTCCGAAAACCAGCTTGTTCTTTTCTGAGAATGCTATCGACTGCCTCTGATATACACAGGACTATGATCTTACACAAAACTTTGCTTGGCACAGATAAAAGTGTGATACCACGCCAGTTATTACAATCACTGAGAGTTCCTTTCTTTGGTATCTTCACTATAACCCCATTGGTCCACTCATCTGGCACTTTTTCCCTTTCCCAGACTGATGTAAATAGAGGGGCTAGGATAGACGCTGCTAACTCAGGATTTACCTTGAACAATTCTCCATTCAAGTTATCTGTGAAGGGGCTTTCCCTTTTTTAAAAGGATTTGATGGCGTGAATGATCTCTTTCTTAGTTGGGGTGTCTGTGTTGATATCAAGATCATCTTCTGCCTCCTGGATGTTTGCTTCCTCTTTAGGTGACTCCCTGTTCAACAATTCTTTGAAATGCTCTGTCCAGCGCATTTCTTGTTCTTTTTCAGTTGTTAGTAGATGGCCTTGTTTGTCCCTGATGAGTGTTTGTTTGTGTCTGCTGTTTACTACTGATAAGCTGCGTCATTTTGTAGAAGGTTCCTTGTTCACCACAAGCAGCTGCTGTTTGTGCACTCCCATAAGGCATTTGACCTCCCGGTGTGCCTTGCTATACTGCTCGCGGTATTTGTCCATTAGCTTCTGGGATTTTGTGTCTAAAATGTTTTTCTTCAGGGCTCATCTGGTTTCTATGGCGTTCCATGTGCTGGGTGTAATCCACTCCTTCCTTCTCTTCTGCCTGTAGCCTAGATAAATTGCTGTTACTTTGTCCCACTTCTTGTTGATCTCCTCATCTGCATACCCTTCCTCTTCATCAAGGTCTGCAAGTGCCTGAAACCTGTTCTTTAACTGCAGAATGAAGGCTTTCTCTATTTCAGGGGACTTTACCTTGTCAATATCATAACGTCTATGTCGTTTGTTTGGTGGACCCACACTTCTCAGTTTTAGCTTGATGGAGGCTGTTAAAAGGTGTTGATCACTGCCAACATCTGCACCCCTTCTCACTTTCACATCTGTCAGTGAGCGTCGCCATTTGCCATTGATCATGATATGGTCAATCTAGTTCTTATCTCTGCCATTTGGAGAATACCATGTCAGCTTGTGCATTTCAAGATGTTTAAATAGGGTTCTGCCGATGACTGGGTCATTCATATTACAAAAATCAACAAGCCTCTCTCCGTTTTAATTCATTTTGCTACACCCATGTCTTCCCATTGCTCTGTCATTTGTATTGTCCTTACCGAACTTGGCATTCAGGTCTCCCATGATGGTAGTTACGTCTTGTCGTCGTACTTTCTCTAACTCCGCCTGTAATGTAAGGTAGAATTTGTCCTTTACTTCTTCATCACTGTCATTTGTCGGAGCATAGCACTGAATCAGGGTGATATTATTATGTTTCCATTTTAGTCTGGCAAGTCTGCTGCTGATGGACTTCCATTCAAGCAAGGAATGCTCCACTCCCTACTTCAAAAGGATGGCAACACCGTCATGGTGTTGTCCATCATCCCTTCCAGAAAACAGCAAAGTTTCTTCCGAGGCTGCTGTTAATCTTCCTGATCCCGTCCATCTGCTCTCACTGACACCTGGATGTGTAAGCTGTAGTATCTCATCTCTGCTGGGACCTAAGCTAGTTTCCTTGTTTCGTACATCATCCGGATGTTCCAAAAAGTTTGGTTTTTGTCTTGGTGTTCAGGATTTCAGTCTTCAAGCCAGTGGGTTCCTTTTGGCTTTCACCACCGGCAGTCATACAGGTCATTGACTCCTGAACCATCACATGCAGTAATGGTCGATTTCTCTGTCGCTGTTTCCGTAATATATTTTGTTTTTTACAGGACAGGGTTGTTAGCTCTGTGCCTAACCCCCAACCTGGAGGACCAGGGTGTCTGTTCATCGGGCCCCTCCTCCACAGACCAATCCGGCATGATTGAACCTACCAGGAGCAAAAAGCCCCCGCCGACACAGACTCTGGGGATCGTTAGAGCACACAAGCTGTCCCCCCACGACAAGGCACGGACACCAGAGGACAGTAATTAGGAGGCGAGTTAAGTAACTTAAAGCCAGAAATAAAAAAAATGCCACTGTGGTTGTGGAGAAGTTAAAAGCGCTTTGGTGTGGAGGAAAGATTCTCTAGCAGCAGACTGTCTGCTAATTTATGTGTATTACTGTGTGGAGAGGGCAGGTATGTGTGTTTCTGGGGCTGAAAGTTTGCACCCAAATAACGTGTAGCATTTGCACTGAGAAGGCGGCTGTTTGAAGGAAACAGCTGTTACACAGAATGGAACAGAATGGGGAAGTTTTTGTATTGGTCTGTATCACTGTGAGAGGTGAGCTACGGTATTGCTGACAATAATAATCTCCAGCATCTTCAGCTTGAACGTTGCTGATTGTGAGAGTGAAATCGGTTCCAGACCCACTGCCTGTGAACCGGTCTGGGATCCCAGTGGCACGCGTGGAAGCACCATAGATAAGGAGCTTCGGTGCTTGCCCTGATTTCTGTTGGTACCAGCCTAGTAAGTGAATACTACCAATGGTGACGCTGGAACTGGCTTTGCAGCGGATAGTGGCTGTGTCTCCAGGAGACACTGCCAGGGATTCTGGAGTCTGAGTCATCACAGTCTGCCCACTGGAGCCTGAATTCACAGAGAGACTGGCAGTTAATAAAAATACAGATCTAGTCAATCAAACTCAACAACATTGTACCTTTAAAATATTCTCATGTGCATCTTTACACAATGACTCTCCCTAATCAGCTGGGCGTGATGCTAACATTGAGCTCTAAACACTGTTTCATTCTAACCCTTTTGCCTACGGCTCATAATTTTCTCAAACCTCTTTTGTCTTAATTCCAGCTAAAAGAAGATAAAGATTTTCATAAGTCAGAGTCATTCCTGGCAACTGTTTATTCTTTAACATTAATATTTTGGTAATCCCTGAACGCCTCTAACAGTTTTTGTCCATTTGTGCCAGATGCTGTACAGACAATAAGTGACAGTCCCTGCCACAAATTACTTACTAACTAAATGGATCTTGATTGTAAATTATAGTTTATGGGTCAATGTACAACATTTCTAGTTCTTTTAAGCTTTTCAAAGGATCATTGTACGTTTAATTCAACGGATTCCTTCTTGGTTTGATCCTTACCCTGAATCCAGAGCACTAACAGCCAGATGAGCTGAGCCTGTGAGATCATCTTGATATGTCTGAGTGGCCCGATGCTGGTCAACAAACTGTAACGAGTGACACGGAACATTTATAACAGTTCAGCACTGCAGGGGAAGGGTGTGAAATATGCAAATTGGGTTCAGAGATGAAAATTCACACCTGGTCCATGAACATGCACAAAAAGGGAAGTGAAAGGGC